CTGCAAAGGAGGGTCGCGTCCGTTTACGACTTAAAGATCTCTCGTCAGATCGGTAAGCCAATCTCTAAAGGCGGTGTTTAGTAGGTAAAAGTCTCCACATAACCACGCAGCCGGCTGCGTGGTATACTATGAGCATTCACCGCCTCCATCCCCCGCTTTCAGGAGGGTTGCCTTTATTGCTTCCGGCACAAAAAAAAACGTTCTGCTCCGTGTTGGCAGACTTTGTCTTCGAAATATTATTGTTTGTCAGACATGTAGGTTTTCGATAATTTTAGCCGAACACAAGGAAATGAGCACTTAAGATTTCAATTAGCTAATAAGATTAAATTACATTGATGCCATCAAAGAACGCGTTGCTCGCGTACTGTTAAATATCAAAATTTTTAACAAACTCCCAAACTCAATAAAAAATAGGAAAAAAAAAACATTAATTTTATAAATAAACTAAAGGAATTTTTAATTTGTAAATACTACTACACACTAAACGAATACCTAAATGATAAACTTTAAATGTCTACCTAGAATACCTACAGTTGCTATATTATATAGTGTATTAATCATTATTGTTTCATTAAAATGGCCCTCCTCTCTCTTAATTGCCGTGCCCTGCAGGGCCCATAATGATCTCATAGTTTTAAGTTAAAACTTAAAATGTTCTCCACACCTTAACTGTAACCACCTGTAACATTATGGATGCAATAAATAATATGAATATGAATAAATTGACGGCGAAAGCTTTCCTTAACTATCAGGGCTCATAAATCTTAAAAATTTTCTTATAAAACGAAAATATTGTGACAATAAAACATAGTTAAAACCAAAACATTAAAAGGGGAACTTGTTAAAGCTTACTAAATTTACTGTTTGGTTTTGGAAAAGTGTAGCACGGACAAAATGCCGGCAGCAAAAGAATTTTTAAACACGATACGACAGTTCCGAAGGCGCCCTCGGGAAATTCTAAAAAAACTTCCTTTTAGTTTAGGCAACTAAAAATTTCAACTAGTGTGCATAAAAATAATTTGACACTCAATTTTCATTAAATTTCATCTCATTAGCGTGGCATAAAAAGTCGAAGTGGAAGAATGAAATGAGATGCTTCTCATCAACGGTCCTTTCGAAGCACCCGTATCATTTATCATTAGCGACGTGACGTGTTAAAACGTTTTTTTTTTCTGTCGATTTCTTAACTGAGAAAAATTGAAGTTTAAATTAAAGTTAATTTTAAAGTTGATTTTTAATGTAATCAATAAATTATTACAATATTTTTAGTAATTCCAAATAAGTAGGTATTACGAAATAAAATACCGTTATTTTCTCGGTTTCGTTTTCAAAAGCGATATGCCCCTGGCCGATTTTCAAATCACGACAAAAATCTCGAATAATCGGAAGCTTGAACTGCGCAGAAGATAGTGCGTTACAAGAATACAAAATCCACTTATCGTTATCTGTAGACTGGAATGCGTTGTCAGAGACACGGACAGAGGCAAAACACAACCAGAATTAAAGACACATATTTGCATAAATTTAGTTTTATGACATCAAAATATTTAGGTGAGTATAATTGATTTGTTTCTATTACATAATCATATATCATAAAAACTCACGCCTTTCACCAAGAGGGGTAGGCAGACACTACAGACTTCCATTTGGCACGACCCTAACACACCTCTTTCGCCTCCTCCACATCCATATACCTACGCATACATGCTCGTCGGTTTATCGACCAAATTGGCGATATATTGAAAATGGGCAAAAGAAAACTTCCAACTAATAAATCGTAATTCAGGTCGATATTTGTTATTGCTCATATTAAGACTGCGTATTCAGGATACGTTTTTACTGCTTTATTTTCTTTCTTATCATTGATTGATAAATTTTGAGCGATGTGCTCAAAATAACACATGAAATTATTTCGTAAACGTTTTCTCTTAGAGATTCATTTTTGACAAAATAAACAGAATAATATAAAGACTATAAAAGACAATGTTATCTCACTTAACATCAAGCACATCCAAGCAGCCCACGGAACCTGAATACTAATAAATAATGCTCTTAAATCGATACTCATCGTGTTCCCTATAAGCTAAACCGGTTCAAGAAAGAGTACCGCTACCAATACGCTGAAATGTATGATACATCACAAGCCCAATCTGCTTTTTATTTAAATGATATCAACACATAATATATTAGTTAAAAACGTTTTTGAATTTCTAAATACGCTTCATGACGTTTATTCCAAGTTTAATAATATTAACCGTATTAAATTAAATAACACGTTTGTTCAAACTACCAATCATTAAATAGGGTTGACCGCTGGAAATTTGCAAATCATTACTAAAATAATAATAATTAAGTAGTTAAAAATAAAATTCATAAATAGCAGCCAATTTTGACTCAAGCACCAATCATAGACCTCGGAAACTGCCACAGAGCACTTCTGTCAACTTTTTCGTATGTTTTATATGCTACATACACCACAGCTTGTTACTGGAAGATTGTTTTGCACCCTAAGGACGATCAAGGCGACGACGGCAAGGCTCCGACGCGAAACCCTTCTTACAAAGGTTTCGAAGCAAAAAAAAAACAGAAACCTGTTTTTGTGTTTTGTGGTTCCAAGAGCTTTTTAATAATCTTATTGCCACTGCAGTTTATTGCTTCTTTAAGCTATAATACAATATATAATAAATAAAATAGAGCAAAAAAATCATTTAGTTGTCATCGCGACTTGCTGAAAACAAATGGTAACAGTGTTTGATCTCCACCGGCCCTGATGACATTGATAATTGTAGTGTCTAATAACTAGTATTAACGTTGTAGAGGCCGTAATACTTGTATAACTGCACCACGAATAAAACAGCTTGACCGAAGAAACATTTTTAAGATGTCACAATCAAGTGGACTGCGTGATTGTTTGTCATCCTTATTCAATTAAAAATAGGTTTCCGAATTAGCAAAAAAATCAAAGACACATTAAGTTGGCCAACACGCTTTGGAGTAGCAAGGTGGACTCTCCCCAGATCCAAACTCTCACAGAAATGAGAGTAGAATGCACACTGTACACCAGCCTTACTTTTTTTTCCATCCCGATAACACAGCAATCTGTCGTGGACATTTAGCTGTTTCTTTGTCTGAGATATGTCTGATTATTTCTTTTTTTAAGCAGGGAGAGTTGTCCATTGACCACTCTCACTATTCTTTGGTGAATCGTGTCATGAGATTTGGAACGCTATTCTTTCTCAGTCTTGTGTACATGGCCCAGAACCCGTTAATGTAGCAGCCAGTGCGTTAACATGTGAAGTTAATTTTTGTTGCTATTTTAAGTTTTTCAGCTTCGAACAGCGATTTCTTGTTTCACAGTGTTGAGCCTCAAGTCGTGCAGAATACATTTACTATGGATTCATTTTGTAATGTTGAACATAGATCTAATAGCTTTAGTCTGACACCTTTCCAGGATTTCTATGTTGCTATTTCTTGCTGTTCCCCAAAATTCTATTTGAATTTTCCCGCCTTACTTTAACCTTAAATTATATATTGTAGAAAAAATGCTAAGTTCAAAACATCGCTTTAAATTTTTATAAAACACAATAAGTAGGTAGGTTTTAGTCAAATCGAAAATGCTCTAAATTGCACATACAGCAAACATAAGTAGGTCTGAGCTGAGCACATACTATGAAATACGAAAGCGTATACGTAAACAGTAAACACCTCATTACCCACTCATAACAAGCGTGCAAAATGTCTGCGATTTCGATGTATAGTGTGGTCTAAGTTCGATTTATATTCAGCAGTGGACTCGTGAATGACTGTAATGGAAGGGAAATAGTTTGTATTCTTTCTCTTTCATCAAGTTTATTTTATTTTAATTATAATGTGATTTACTAACATTACGCATTATATATAGATCAACATACGGCATTATTTTAGAATTTATACTATCTGAGCTGTAAATTATTAACAGTAAACACCTACAGGTCTTTTGATGAGTGACGAGTATCGTTAGCTGCAAATAAACCAAATTCCGTGACGTTATTTTACAAACACCTGGCAAACTGGTTGAAAGGTAAAAAGACAATTGCCAGTGTCAAAAACAGGTTTTAAGGAGGTGGTCAATTAAGATTTATAACATGGCAAAGCTTTCAAAGGTACCTAATCATTTAAGTTCAAATTGTCTATGCATTTAATTAAAGCGTAAATACAAAATGCATAGTTTGAAATACAAATGAATTAAAAATAGTAAAAACAAAGACTGCACTTGTAGATTAATGGAATCAAGGTAAGGAGCTTAGCCGCTACTTTCTATGGGCAACGCACTTCAACTGGAATAATTGAGCTACATTTTATTTTCCAAGTACAATTGCATATAAGCAGAACCTGAATAATTGCGAAGTCAATGCCCTGCTTCTCATTTACTTACAACACGACAGTATTCCTTCCTATTATACTTTATTTGTAATATAATATATGTAAATTGGTTTAAGGATTTCTTAACCAAAACATAACAGTCCTTTTGGAATTCAACTAGACCTGGAAAGCTGCGTGTGAGATTATTGATCGACGGTTATTCTGTATGAATCTACTTTTTAAACTGTAGTTGACATGCTAATACACCAATTAAATCAACAGCGAAATTCGTGTCCCTTATCAATGTAGTTTATTCGAATGAAGTGAATATATTATAATATAATGCTATATATAATAACGTAATTTAGAGTTTAATTTTTTTGAGCAGTACCCTAATTCGTTTTCTAAAATTAAAGTAGCCTGTGATCAAGCCGTTTCGGAGATTAGCCGGAGCACACAGAGAGACAAATATTTTAAAAATTGTGTTTTTGTCATAAGTACGTATATACTTACTTTCATATGGGTTTAGTAAAAAGCAGTTATTTTAACATTACAAACAGACAGTTCATTTTATTTGTATAGATATATTGAATTACAATTAAACAGTTTAAGTAACGAGAAATTGTAAATTTAACTAATGCAATAAGAACAGGTTAGATTCATGCAAGTAAAGCAGGACAGCGTTTTAAATTTGCAATCTTACTGGCTTCAGCGATATCTGTAAATTTTGCCCATTGTAATTGTATTTCTTTAGAAGTTCTGCCCTGAAATACCTATAAGTTTTGAATAAGATTTTCTTTTTATATAAGAGGGGGCAAACGAGCATACGGTTCACCTGATGGTAAGTGACTACCGCCGCCCATGAACAACCGCAACACCAGGGGAATTGCAGGTGCGTTGCCGGCCCTTTAGAAAGGAGTAAGCTCTTTTCTTGAAGGTCCCTAGGTCGTATCGGTCCGGAAAATTCGCTGGTGGTAAACTATTCCACAGAGAGGTCGTACGCAGAAGAAATCCCCAAGTGAAACGTACAGTGGTGAATCTCCAAGCATCCAGATGGTGTGGATGGTATCGGGAGGTTGGCCGCGTAGTGCGTTCATGAAATTTGGCGGCTGGGATTAATCCGAACAATTCCTCAGAGCACTCCCCGTGGTATATGCGAAAGAAAATGCACAGAGATGCAACATCTCTTGATGCCAGCGAATCAAGCCGATCGGAAAGGTTCGGTCGTCGACGATTCGAGCCGCTCTGCGCTGGATGCGGTCAAGTGAAAGGAGCTGGTACTGGAGAGCCCCAGCCCAGAGATGGAAACAGTATTCCATATACGGCCGAACCTGTGCCTGTATATATATGATAGAACCATGCTGCATGCATTTTATTATGGTTGTAGCACGAACAGGTCGGTTCGAACGGGGCAGGACTACGCTCTCACAGTACATCAGCGTAAAATAGCAGCTCAATGCTGCTGTGTTTCGTATGGTGAGTGTAGAAAACCCTTTTTACTGGAAACGAGGTATTCCATCATAGTCCTCAGAAGTGGCAACGCATTTACATTTTGATTCTTAATCGAGGATAGATGTAGATATCTATGGCCATTGCATCGACTTACCATCAGGTGGACTGTGCGCTTGTTTGTCACTCTCATTCTATTTAAAAAAAACTTAGTTAAGGAAAATAAAGGCCTATATTATACCGTTCAATGCTGGACACAGCCGCATCATTTCTTTAAAGGTTTTAGAACAAGCGAGAGTCTATTTACTATCCCAATGCATATTGACAGACTTTCAATGTCTCTTGAAAATATTACAAATTAATGTACTCAGACGTGCTAGTTTCCTCATGATGTTTTTCTTCACCACCTAATAAATCGCTAGCGGGGATCAAACTCGATTCGTACTACGAAATTTCAAGCCAGCGCAGCGCCCAGCTCATGAATTATCACAGCTCTCATATTTACTTAGGGGCTTAGGGCACTGGTTTTTGTATTTTGTGGTTGAGGGATTTTGTAAGTTTGCTTATATGTGTTGTGACGTCACATAAGGGTACAAATAAGGTTTATTACAAATATCATCAGTATTGAAAGTGTTTTTTTAACTGTAATTGATTTGGCCGCATGTATCTATCACTCTTTCTGCAGTCTTGATTAACGTTTTTGAAGTAAATTCATTTCATCAAGCTCGACTAGTCTGTCAGATAGGCAGGTAAATCACCGTCTTGTAGGTCAGGCCCAGTTACTCGAAGTTTTAAAGGTTAAAACAAAAGTAAGTTGTTCATTTTAATTTTCTAGAGATTTAATTTTTTAATTTTATGAAATTTTATTGTAGCAAATACAATATCGAACGCGAATAATTTATACACGTTGCTTAATAAGTCGGTAAGAATAAATATTAAAATTTGTACACTTTCAATTACAAACATTTACGTAATTACGTAAATATCTACTTCTTTTATATTACATCGCGGCATTCATTTACTCGATGTATCTATAGGGAAGTTTTAAAATAGAACCCGATGTGTGCGAACGCCTCGGGTGAGCGACTTGAAGCGGTCCACAGATAACATTTATATCGGCATAATCGAAGCAAAAACTTCGAAACATTATTACGTTTCATATATTGTAGTCAGAGCGCGTGTCTGCAAATTTCAATGAATTTTCTATATAATCGTGTTATTTATCGCTGTGAAATTGTTAGGAAAACTGGTCCAGTCTGAAAGTATCGTCTGTTGATGTGAGGCGGGCATACACACTACATTGTAGGCTAGTTGCGCGGGTGTGGCCAGCTGATCGCCGGACGCTTCACGCACAGCGCACACAATGCTGCAGCTGTTTACTAAGAAAAATGAAGCTTATTGATTTTATCCACCCAGAGCGACTTTCACGTATACGACAGGTGTAATAAGGCTCGATTATCACCTGCTGAGCGACTATGGTTATATCTTGTTTTGATTGTAATAAGCTATCTACATAATGATACTGACCTTAATTCCAGAGCGTCCCTGTTGCTTGAGGAGCACGTTCTCCGGCTTCATGTCACAGTGAATGATGCGATTCTTGTTGAGCGCGTGCAGGCATTGAAGCAAGCTGTGCGAAAACTTTCGAACAAGTTGCAGCGAAAACCCTTGAAACTTGTTCTTCTTAATCAACTCATACAGATTTATTGAGAGCAATTCAAACGTGATACACGTGTGATTTCTGAATGTAAATGAGTCGAACATGTGAATAACATTCATCGTGTTATCCTTGTCTTGCTCCCTGAGGTGCTCGAGTATACGAATCTCCTCTTGAGCCTGTCGGTGGAACCTCTTCTCATTTCTCACCATTTTTAATGCAACATTTTCCCGCTTCTTATGATCGTACGCTTTAACTACCTGACCGAAGCTACCTTTGCCTATAACTTTGAGCACCTCGTACCGATAAGCTATGTGGTCGTGCGGTATGTGGATATAAGAACCCTGTTCGTTGTCGTATTCGCAATTATTCGGAAAGCCGACGAGGCCGGGCCGTTTCTTTGCGTTCGCGCCTATGAAATACACTTGTGGATAATCGAATATCTCGCGGTGTTCGTAAGGCGTGAGCTTGTTCATGTAGAGCTTCATGACTTGCTCGGGGCTGGCGGCGGCGGCCGGCGGGGCGGGCGGCGCGGCCGCGGGCGGGCCGGGCTCCAGCGGTGGCAGGGCGCCGTCCCGGAGCAGAGCGCGCCCGAACGCGTGCGCGCTCCCCAGAGGCATGTCGCCGGTCATGGCCGAGCGGCCGCCGCCACCTCCGCGCACCTCGCTCTCCGTGGCCGTACCGACCCACGCTCGCTCGCACACACCACTGCACCTCACTGCACTTGCACTAGACGGCGCCACCCTGGGGCATTACACGACATTTCACAGGGACCGAGAGGAGCGACAGCCACGCTTCCACTTATGTTGGCACATTCCGTCTCGGATGCGACACGATAGAACGCCCGACGCAGATGATACCGTGCGACGCGAACGTGAAACGCAAACAAAGACCCCCTTCCTAGCGGGTCGACCCGACGACAGAACCAGAGAGAAAATAGAAACTGGTCGCCAAAGTCATTGAACCGTTTGAACGCGCAGAACGAATGAGTGCGAGTGGGACAAAATATAAAATTAAAGTATTCTGTCTGCTCGTAGATGGCGCTTCATGCTAATACGCCTTTATAGCCACTAGAGCCTCAGTCATTATGAATGACCTTTTATTTTTAATCTGTAGTTAAAAGTTGTATTTTCAAACCTTAAAAGTTATAAAGATAAAATTTTGGAGATTAATTCTTTTAACTATATGTATTTTATTGTTTTTTTATTTATTCTTTTCTACGTAAGCCATTGAGTTTATTTGAAATGATGATTATTTCACAGATATTAATTATTATCTTTTCCAAATAAGTTTTTTTTTTCATAGTTAAAGACTGTGCAATAAGCAAATTTTCGATATTAAATATAGATATATTTCTATTAATTGATAAAATAATTTGTTCTTCGTTACAAATAAATTTTTACATGTATAAGTTCCTTTCAAAGTATTATTTTTACAAATCAAATTTCCGTCAAAGACCTTTTAAATTGATTAGCACTCCTAAAACACATATTATAATTACTAATATTTTATATACATCCAACAATATGGCTGGGTATAGAACGGGTGATTCATATCCACGTCATTAATTCCTCAAAACGTGAAAACAAAAGTGTATAAATGTTCATGAAGACGGTTACGATATACGGATCTGAGAAAAATAAGATATCGAATGACGAAGCTTGAAAAAATAAAGAAACTTTGTTTGAAGCGCAGTGGATACAAATTGATGTATTTTGTGGTTAGAAGATGTGACCCAGAAGTAAAATATTTTTTAATAGATTTCCATATTTTATCTCTTGGGAGTTTATATACCATTTTTGTACACATTTACGGGTGTTAAAATAAACATTTTAAGTAAGTAATGCTGAAACCGATATAATCAAATATTAAAGTTGCTAAAGATCACGTTGATCTTTTACTGCTGGCCATATGAGAAGCTTAAGGTCAGTGAGCTTTAGTAGACGGCTATGCTCCGAGTTTTCAGCGTTGTAAAATTCATAATGAATACATTCGCAGTAGAAACAGAGTACCTGACCGATATAGCCCAACGGATAAGTAAGTCGACGTTGTAATACGTCGACTATACAGCTTGAAGAACTGATAACCAATTGGGAAAACATGTCAGGAATTCGAGGGTGTAAGTGTTTAAGGGCAATTTTTGTGGTATTTCTTGGGAAAGGCCTATGTTCGGCATTTTGAGAAGAGCTTAATGATGATGATATGCTTCTTTGATATACGTCTCAAAAGAATAAGTGCGATTTGTACTTTCAGTAGAATCAAGTAATTGGATTTTATAATTTAAACAAATATATCTTTAGTTTTTTTTTCTTTTAAGGGAATAAGGGTGACAAACAAGCACACAGTCCACCTGATGGTAAGTGGATGTATTGGCCCATAGACATCTACATCTATCCTCGAATATAGAATCAGAAAGCAAATGCGTTGTCACCCCTGCTGAGCCTAAGGATTAAAGTGAAATACCTAGTTTCCAGTAAAAAGGGCTCAAGTTCTCTACAATCATCATACGAAACACAGCAGAATCAAGCTGCTATTTTACGCTCATATTCTGTGAGGGCATGGTCTCACCCCGGTTAAGCCGACCCATTCGGGCTTTACTAGATAAAAAAAGTTTTAATGTAAAGGTTATCTATTGATATACTAAATTTATAAGCTTTTTTTGTGGTTCAGCACTTATCCAGTCAAATACTCAACACTATTAGGTTCTGCAATAAGCGGATTAGCTGTATTTAACTTGCTTGATACACAATGATTAAATTAAAGTGTATAACTGAATTATTTCATATAGCTCTAATTGTACAAATTTATAGGAAAAAATGTTATTCTTGTATTATTTTATAACAAATAATATTTTATTCTTGTTTGGGTCTTTCATCATAGTTGTCTATGGTTAAACCTACAGTGCATGCGACATCTATCGGGTATTCGTTTCATCAAAGATTATGTGCATCATCCATCCGATCTAGACGTCTTTTTTCACTCCGCTCACCGCTGTTTTCTTGTCATTTTATTAGAATCGTAACCAGTTACTATGTGGTAATTACATCTTATTTTGTGGAAAATATGTACATAGACTATTGTGCTCATAGGCAATAAAAGTAATGTGGTGAAAAATAAGCAACAGAAAATAGTCAAATGTAAGTACTTAAATTCTCTTCTATACCGACAATTGCAATGATTTCTTTTATCATTTAATTATCTGAAAGCTCTTTATTTCTGTATACAATAACGTTACAATGAACTATTTGGAGCTTATTTTTAAACATTGTTTTTTTACTGATCACTTAATAATTAAAATATTATAGTATAGCATATGGAGAATATTCTATTGTTTCTACTTAGCCTTATATATCAATGAATACGTGATAGCATCCATCCATTACAACAGTGACGATGTCGCTATGAGTACGCGAACCTTTCAAGGTAATGTTAGGGCACTGATTTGGTATACTTACCGATTTATTTGTGTAACTACTTCCTTATACATACCATATAAAAACGCAACTCATATGATAATGTTATGTTTGGATTACTGCCAGTGCAGGAACACTTACCTACTGAAGTACTGAATCTATTCTATTGTAAAGTATAAAATAAACTATTTTTTCTTTGTTTATTATTTTACTCCTAACTGAGTCATCCAATCCAAGGAGGTACTTGATCAATGAATAATGTTAACATGAATCATGTTATCTTAAGGTTATAAATGCAAACAGATCATTTTAACTTAATTATCATAAGATTCCCCTATATATTTCAATGAGTTTAAATAATATCAGATTTATTTTTATTTTCAGCCTGTTGTATCCCACTGCAGGGCAAAAGATAAGGAGACCTTATCTTTTTCTACTTTTACCATTTTGATACATAAAGGTTTTAGTTCATTATTTATCATAATTCAGTATATTTTCTTAGTTTTTTTTAACATTATCACATCATTATATCATAAACACTGACACCTGTCATTCAGAGGGGTAGGTAGAGCTACAGGCTTCTATTTGGCATAATCCTGACACATCTTTCCATTTCTTCACGGTCATATTATAGCTATGCATGCATGCTCATAAGTTAAGGGTAATCTTATTTTGGCCTTTCTTTGGTGTTGATCATCAATATCATGTCTTTCTTCAATCTGATCGATGAACTTTCATCTATGGCATCCCTTGCCAAATCTGCCACTCATTCAAAAACTGCTGATAAGGGATTATTGACATTGTGACTGAAAATTATACATACAAATTTATAATATCTTAATTACTTTATTTATGTTTATGTAAGTCCCTGCTGATTGATTGCATATACTTACCTTCTGCTTAGTAATTTGATCAATTTATTATTTGTAAAATAAAATATTATTTGAAAAAAATCTTTTATGTATACTCTTTTGAAATTAATATGAGTCTTCATCATAAATCATCACTTGTAAAGAACGGTCTAATAACATTTATCTACCCTTTGTAAAGTTGATTACATAATGATTTATTAAATTTACGCAAACACTATACATTGCATAAAATTATATTTACAGATTTTATTGCCTTTAATGATTTCTTTTAAGTTATTTTTAATTGCCAACGTTTCGGGTGCTTTACAGCACCCATGATCACGGGGGCTGGGGGGACTGAGATGTTTGACGTCCCAATGTCATAGTTAGCCCGGCTATTAAGGTAGCTGGGCTAACTATGACTTAAAGACGGCTATTAAGGTAGCCGGGCTAGCTATGACTTAAAGACGGCTATTAAGGTAGCCGGGCTAGCTATGACTTAAAGACGGCTATTAAGGTAGCTGGGCTAACTATGACTTAAAGACGGCTATTAAGGTAGCTGGGCTAACTATGACTTAAAGACGGCTATTAAGGTAGCTGGGCTAACTATGACTTAAAGACGGCTATTAAGGTAGCTGGGCTAACTATGACTTAAAGACGGCTATTAAGGTAGCTGGGCTAACTATGACTTAAAGACGGCTATTAAGGTAGCTGGGCTAACTATGACTTAAAGACGGCTATTAAGGTAGCTGGGCTAACTATGACTTAAAGACGGCTATTAAGGTAGCTGGGCTAACTATGACTTAAAGACGGCTATTAAGGTAGCTGGGCTAACTATGACTTAAAGACGGCTATTAAGGTAGCCGGGCTAGCTATGACTTAAAGACGGCTATTAAGGTAGCCGGGCGACTTAAAGACCATAGGTACCCCTATGACTTAAAGACGGCTATTAAGGTAGCCGGGCTAGCTATGACTTAAAGACGGCTATTAAGGTAGCCGGGCTAGCTATGACTTAAAGCCGGCTATTAAGGTAGCCGGGCTAGCTATGACTTAAAGACGGCTATTAAGGTAGCCGGGCTAGCTATGACTTAAAGACGGCTATTAAGGTAGCCGGGCTAGCTATGACTTAAAGACGGCTATTAAGGTAGCCGAGCTAGCTATGACTTAAAGAACGGCTATTAAGGTAGCCGGGCTAACTATGACTTAAAAAGACGGCGTATTAAGGTAGCTGGGCTAACTATGACTTAAAGACGGCTATTAAGGTAGCCGGGCTAGCTATGACTTCAGGATGTCATCCATCTCAGTCCTCGTAAATTTAGTTTTATTCAAAGTTGATTACATATTATGATTACATATTCTTATTACACAAAAACAGTAGTAACAATATAATTGTGAAATCATCTACTTAAGTACTAAGAATGTTTATCTCTTGTGGTTGCTGCTTAAAAGAAGCATCACCCTATCTTGTCGAATGTATGCAGTAAAAGCGAACTATGGGATAATGCAAAAACATATTTTTTTTCTTTATAGGATAAGGGTAACAAACAACCATACAGTCCACCTGATGGTTAGCAGACGCTGTGCCTCTACATCTATTCTTGATTAATAATCAAATAGCAGATGTGTGATTGCCCGTGAGGACTAATGTGGATTGCCTAGTCTCCAGATTTCACTTCAGTCCATTGTGGATAATGACTACATAATGGTAAATGGCCATTGCAGCCGGGGCAGCTTGTTTTCATTTGTTGTTTTTCTTTTAAAAGCATGTAAGCTCCGAATTTTTTTGTTGCTATACTCTGTGTTGTACTTACTCTTCCCATATATAATCAGTGATCACATATATTAACATTTGTGTTTTTGCTTAAAATTTTCCCACCGGCCTGTAAAGATTTTCTGCTAGACATAGTCTCGCCTCCAATACTCTTTCCTGGATTTGTTATAATCTCCTGGTTTGGCAAGTAGATTAGTATACTGAGTACCAAACATTTCGCGCTTTTGACTTCTCAATGTTACATGGCTATTTTATTTTTGAAATATGCACAAAATTGTAACTTTATCATTTTCTGAAGGCTGAAATATTTCCAGTCATATCCCTTATCATCTTTTTATGTAAACCTTAAAACTAAATCGTTTAGCGGAGGCTCTTCACTACCTCCAAATAATTTGTAGCAATATGATGTTTCACAATTAACAATTTAGATAAAAGTTTGAATTTAACATTGTGGTAGAAATCACCTTGGAGAATATTATTGTATGCTTACTAACTTACAACTACCTATACTACTATAACTTGGTTGCTTTGTATTTTCATTATTTTTAAGTGACCAGAGAGCTAACAGTCCAATTAATGTTAAGTGATTTTACGGTCAATAGTCACCTTGGTTTTGGGGAAATCCTCATGAATACCTACCGCTGTAGAGGCAACTGGAAGGTTATGCCAGATTTCGCCTAAAACCTAGGTTTCTGGGATCTTCCTACAGAACGCAACAGTGACCTCTCCGTTTTGTGTTTTGCTAAATGCACATACCGGATCAGTTCTTACTTTTGTAGACACCCTCTTAGTGCTTTCATGATGTCTCAAGACCACATCCTCGCCAAAAACTTTCTCTGTGGTTACGAGGCATTCGAGGCTCCTACTCCGATCGTAGATACCCGGAGTACCATTATCAGAATGACGACCTGGACGATTTGCCGGCGACGAATTCAAACAGGATCGATCCTCTCCTGATCTCGCTTAGCAGCTCCCTTCTGGACCATGAATGTTTGTACGGATTTACAGGAGGCGTCTACGGCACTCTACTTCCTATCGGCGTCACCAATACGAATTGCAGGCAAGGTGAGTAATCACTCCGTCGCTTCATCTAAGTGCGGTAGGATTGCCTTTTTTTTTTTGCGGATGGAAAATCATCTAATGACCCCTTTCGCTCTGGGTGGAGCGTAAGGGAGTGTCAGACTTTTACTGACTAAAAACCATCCGTGTTCCTTCAGTGCCCTTACGTTCCGGAGCCGCGGTATCTCTTTCGAACAGCCCGCAGCCCCGGCAGGCGTTGGCCCTTACGGGCCCCTTCACGCTGCTGACAGCTCTTTGGGGCGCGCGTGGAACAAAACGCGCCGTCGACACGGCCTGTCGTCGTTAGACGGACGGACGGCGAGCTACCCATTGCTCGCCGTCCACAGGCCCGCGCCTACGGTGGCCGGGGGCCACGACGTAGCCCCCGACGCCCGGGGCGTCTCCCGCGGCGGCCGGGGAGGAAAGCTGCTGCTCTCTCCTTCTCCCGCTCCGCCACCTCCTTCGCTAGCATCACTGCTTCGCAGAAGGTGGTGACAGCATCCCATTCCGTCTCGCTCCGGACCATGGCTTCGACCAGGGCCGGACGCGAGAGGTCGCCGCCGCCTATCGCCGCTACGAGGACACGGCGGTGCTCCGCCCAAGCAGGGCACACCTCCACGGTGTGTTCCACCGTGTCCTCCGGTCCATCCTCGCAGTGGGAGCACCCGGGCGTTTCCTCCCGCCCGATTCGGTGCAGGAACCTCCCGAACACACCGTGTCCGGTGAGGACCTGCGTCAGGCGGAAGGTGAGGATGCCGTGGCGTCTCTCAAGCCACTCCTCGAAGAGGGGTCTTATCGCCGCTATAGTGGCGTGCCCAGCACGGGGTTGCGACAGTCGCTCTCTCCATGTCGCCATGAGATCGTGCCGGAAGTCTATCCGCTGCGCGACAACTTGCCGCGGCAGCGGGGTTT